GGAGGAGTAGGAGGAGGATGGGGGAGGGGGAGGGGGAGGAGAAGGAACAAGAGGGGGAGACGGGAGGAGGAGGAGGGAGGAGCGAGGAGCGAGGAGCGAGGGAGCGAGTGAGCGAGGGAGCGAGGGAGGGAGGGAGGGAGGGAGGACGGGAGGAGGAGGAGGAGGCGGAGGCGGTGGCGGAGGCGGAGGAGGAGGAGGAGGAGGAGGAGGGTGCACCCACCACCGACAGGGAATAACTTGCCATTTCTGAAAACTTTTATTTCACCTACGCCCACAGGACTGGTGGTAAAGCGTTACCGCCATCATCCCTTGTGGGGAAGGCTAGGTTTGACCGCGAGAGGGATAGGGGAGTATGGAGCTGCTAGGTTCATGCTGATGATGCGCATGCAGATGCATAGGCATACGCACGCGCATATGGAGGTACACATAACGACACGCATGGTGGTGACGACGACGGTCATGTTTATGGTGATGCTGATGGTGATGATGACACTGCTGCTGATGATGCTGCTGATGCTGATGATACGGATGACGATGATACTGCTGCTGCTGCTTATGATGATGATGATGATGATGATGATGATGATGATGATGATGATGATGATGATGATGATGATGATGATGATGATGATGACGATGATGATGATGATGATGATGCTGATGACGACGATGATGATCATGATGATGCTGCTGATGATGATGATGATGATGATGATGAGGATGATGATGATGATGATGATTATGATGATGATGACGATGATGACGATGATGGTGATGCTGCTGCCGCTAATGATGATGCTGACGATGCTGAGGAGGATGTTCTCGGCTACGACGATCAGGATACCGATGATGGTGTTGATGATGATGCTGACGATGATGCTGCTGATGATGATGCTGATGATGATGCTGATGAGGAGGCGGATCAGGAGGAGGAGATAGAGAAGTAGGAAGAGGAGCGGGATCGCTATGAGGAGTACACACGATAGTAACACGAGGATGCTGCTGGTGGTGGTGAGGAGGAGGAGGCGGCGGAAGAGGAGGACAAGGAGGCGGACGAGGCCGAGGCGGAGGAGGTTTGTCCCCGGTGCCACCTGCCGCTCGCCCCCCAATGCAGGGGAACGAAGGCACGCGGCGCGCGCCGCCCGCGGAGCAGAGCACTCTCGACACCTAATTGTGGCCGCCTGCTCGTGCGTGGGAGGGCAAAGCCGAGCCCGGGGAGACCGACAACTCTGCACCACATACCGTCAGCATCGTTCAACCGATCACCATCCCCATTACCATCCCCATCCAAACCCTGACCACCTCATCCCCCCAGTTGGGAATATACCCTTCGAGATCTGGCAGGAACTGCCTATTTCCCCCCATCTGGGGGGGTAGACTGGCCAGTGGGGCCCAGGCCACGCGAGTGGGGATAGGGATCGGTTAAGCGATGCTCGGCCCGCCCGCTCTTGCTCGCCGTGATCGGGGGCGACCAAGGGGGGGGGGTGATGACTAGGGGGCGGAGGAGGAGGAGGAGGAGGAGGAGGAGGAGGAGGAGGAGGAGGAGGAGGAGGCGGAGAAGGAGGAGGAGGAGGAGGGGGAGGGGGAGGAGGGGAGGAGGGGAGGAGGAGGAGGAGGAGGAGGAGGAGGCGGAGGAGGAGGAGCGGGAGGCGGAGGAGGGAGGCGGAGGGAGGAGGAGGCGGAGGGGAGGAGGAGGAGGAGGAGGAGGAGGAGGAGGAGGAGGAGGAGCGGAGGAGGAGGAGGAGGCGGAGGAGGAGGAGGCGGAGGCGGAGGAGGAGGAGGAGGAGGCGGAGGCGGAGGAGGAGGAGGATGAGGAGGAGGAGGAGGAGGAGGAGGAGGAGGAGGAGGAGGAGAAGGAGGAGGAGGAGGAGGAGGAGGCGGAGGTAGGAGGAGGAGGAGGAGGAGGAGGAGGAGGAGGAGGAGGGAGGAGGAGGAGGAGGAGGAGGGATATCATGGCGTTGGCCATGGTATTCAGATTCATGGCGCCTCTTCGTGTTTCGTGCGTCCCTGGCCCCCCCCCCTGGGCCGCGCACATGCCGCCGGCCATGATTTGCGCCCCCCCCCCCCCCTCCTTCACGCCCCCTGTTGGCCGCCCCCGACGCTCCTGCTCGCCGCGAAGGCCGGGAGTCCTGAGAGAAACGGGTCCCTGGAGCTGTCTCGCAGGGTCCTCCACGGGCCCCTGGGCTTAAGCCGGGCCTGTCCAGCTACAGGGGGAATATCCAACAATAGTCAAAACATAGTCGGGACGATGTTTGAGTATTTTTGTTTGACCATTTGTTTTTTTTGTGACTGTTTTCAACTTTTCGTCCAAAATCTCCCTGTAGGAGGACAGGCCCGACTTAACCCTGGGCTTTCAGAAGACTGCCTGGGCCGAAGAACTGTGCCCCAGGATCCGGGACCCGTTTCCCTTAGGAGCCGCGTTTCCTGCGTGCCGGTCCGTCTGGGTGCTGCCAGAGGTACCCGACCCAAGGCTCGGAGCAGCAACGACATGTCGTGATAGTGACACGTTCTAGATTTTCCAAGGTCTCTTCTCGCTCCGCGCGGGCCCTAGAAACGAGGGCCACCAGACGCTCCGGAAGTCCCGGGAGGTATCCTGCGCCAGTCGCATCACGATGTCTTTCTCGCTCTCAGGGCCCCCCCCCAGCGTTCCAAGAGAGGCCCTCCCCGGCCTCCAGGGCACCTCTGGGGGCACCCGTGCTGGGCGCAGAGCAGGAGGCTCTGGGTCCGGAGGCACCCCTGGTACCACTGCCCCAGTGCCGTCACAGGGGGGCCTTGCGAGCTTCGGGATCGCTCCTCCCTCGTCTCCCTGCTTCTTGTTCGCCAGCGCTCTCCCGCTTCTCCTC